TTTTAAGATGAAACCTTCCTTTCTCTCCAATGAGCATAATACCATTGTTGAGGGACTGATAGTCTCTGATAACTGGTTAGCTACTGTATTGCTCTTTGCTTGGGAAGGCACATACCTCACAGACCACTCCATAGTGACAGCTTCTTCCACAGCATGTTCAATAGTGATCAAGGAGGTATTTAATCTACTCACATTGAGATTGGTGGCTTGGTGGTGTTACATAATGGTATGCCAGCTGATATGTGTTGAGACCCTAATTCCCACACTCAAAGCTCTTTCATTTCGAGCCAAGCAGACATAGTATCCTTATCCATGTCTACAGGGCATGACATGGTTGCAGGATCTTCAAATGAGCCAATTTTTTCATAGTTTTGCAAAAGAGGGTTTATTTCCATAGTAGTTTGGTGATGGTGGATGGGTGATTTCTCAACCCACAAATTCAACTCATGGTAGTAAGCCTGCTCAATTGTTTCTGGTGTCCAGATCAAGTTTTGCCCCTCTGAGGTCTTCTGCCCTTCCATCATGTTTAGCAAGTAAGATTGTAGGCAATCTAATCTAAATAATATTTCATTTTGAACCTCTGGGGTCAGAACGCTGAAGGAATGTAATAAGTTCTTTTCAGTTTCATCGAAGAGATCCTTTCCCAGAACCATTGAGTGCATGGACCCATAAACCCCAAGACTGTGATGAATCCTGGGTTTCACTTCAGCTGCATCTATGCAGGGCCAGTATCAACCAATTTTTGACAAGCCACCTTAACTTGTGGGATTTTTAAAGTAGATACTATGTGTGGCAACAATGATGTTGGTGGTGCCACATTTTGGAAGAATCTTGAGACATCTATACCTCTCCACTTCAATTTCTCTCTATGACTGTACATCCTCGAGGTGATTCTTTTATCTCAAAATGTGACCATTTCCCATACTCAGAATCCATTAGAATGTAGCTATTCAACTTGTGTTAAATCAGCAATATTATTAAGAGCACCAGGGATAGATTCCCCTAATATATTCCAAAGATTGAATTTGCACTCATCTTGGGTCAGAAAGGACTAACTTGGTTTGAATTAATCTTGGCTTCCAATATCCATCTATAAAAGGCACCTCCTTGGTTACTTTGGTTTTATTTTCAGACAAAACATGTGCCCAAGGGTCTTGAACTGGTGAGTCCTGTATACAGACTGAAGTTGATATAGGGGTCAATTTTCAAGAGACCAGTGTCGTGTCAGAAATATATATATATATATATATATATATATATATATATATATATATCCCGTCCCTCTATCGAACAATCGGTGTGGCTTACAACAATTAAAAATTCCATACAAAAAACCAGAATAAACATCCCACCCACCCCTTAAAAAAGTATTAAACCACACATTCATTAAAAGTTAATACATAAAACCACACAAGATAAAAATGAAGTAACTGGAGAGGCCATAGATGAATTGGAGCAGTGATGAGAGCCAAAAGTGGAAGAGGTAGAGCTGGATAAACTCCTGGGCCGAGAATCTAGTCAGGGAAGGCCTGACGAAGTTTAGACGGCTCCTGCTTCTTTCTTACTCTTGCCTTTGTTGTTATCCTGGAGATTTTTTTAGACCTTAAACTAGGGCTGCTGTCTAGTAAATTATGAAGTTAAAAAAAATCATCCTTTTTTTCTTGTACTACTTTGCGGAATTTAACATTTTTTCCTTTCTTGACTTTTATGACCCTCCATTTGCTGTGTTTAGCCTTGGCTGTTCTGTAGGTCTTTTTTGTTGGACTATTCTTAGAAGTAGTGATGAGACCACTGCAATCATTTCTGAGTTTATAAGTTTCTACCAGAAGTGTGATAACCTCTTTGCAGTCCACTAAGAAGCTTTGTATTTGTTTAATATCTTCTGTTAACAGGACCAGCCACTCCACTACTGATAAATCATCTATATCTGACTCAGGAGCGTAGTGGTAGAATTCTGAGAAACTTGTGCCATCATTTTTTGTTGAAAATTCAGAGATTTGCTTTAACATTAACTCCACTATTTGGTCCTCCTGGTTTGACCCACATTTCCCAAACTTTGTATGGAAGACAGTTTAGGAGCTATACTATCTTTATTAATATCTGGACTGATATCTGCATTGGTATCTTCAGTGTAATCAATGCGGTCAGGGAGGGGCCCTTTAAGATCAATATTATCTTCTGAAGCTTCTGGTTCACAGCTACCTCCTCTCATTCCTTGTTTATGTAAAACTGTGTAATTTTTGTTTGCAATCTCGGTTTCCTTGGGGGAGAATTCATTACTAATGGGGTAAGTCCAAAGAGTTTATAGTTACTCTGAGTCATAACCTTAACTTTTGTTTCTACTTGGGTTTCTCTTTGCGTTTAAAATTGCCACCTGGATCACCAGCTGGGATTTTTTGCCCCTTAATCTTATTTTGGGTTTGCAAAGCTTCAAAGCCTTTCTACAAGTTTTTTAAAATCTGCTCAGGGCTTTCAGAGTCTCATCACTTATAATTCTGTAGTAGAATTTCCATAACATTCAAGGTTAAGTTCAGGGTAGAAATTCCATAGTAGTAGTGTTACATTTGTAGTTTAAAACAAAAACAAGGAGCAAAGAGCAGCAGCAGTTGGGTTATGTAGCAGCTCCACACAAAGGTTGGAATGTTGAGATGACAACTCTGCCTAAAATTTGAACTGAGGAATGGAGTCTGCCTGACTAGAGAGGAAAAGGTTATCTCACAATTGAATGAGCTGGTTCTTTACCTTTTGAAATCAGGAACTAGGAATAACCACTCCAGAGAAGATTTTTCCCCCTCAGCATAACAACATGTTTAATTACAAGATGTCTGTACAAACAAGCATATTGACACTCTGCTTGTGAGGCAGATGTTGAATTTCTTGGCAGATACCGTATCAAGCTTCTAATTGTAGATACCAAAATGCTGCTAATGAAAAGAAATGATTGAAGAGAAAGGAAAACAAAAGACACACAAACTAAATGTCAAATGGCATGGGAAATGTTAAGGCAAGGGTGGAAATTATTAGTAAATATATAAAGGAGGCAAAAGACAGGTTGTTTTTAATGAAAAGATCAATTACAGTTGAAGAGACCCTACTGTATTTTAAATATTTTTTCCAGATAGTATTTATCACTGTTCAATAAAAAAAGGCAGAGTTATTTGAAGCATATAGACAAAAATATTTTTATAAAATCTTGTATGAAGAAGAAATAGGATTTCTGTAGATGATGGGGTGCATAGCCTTTGGGGGAAGGATCCAGTGCAATCCTTTGGATGCCCACCAATCTCCCAATGTCCTCAGGGAATAATCTCAGGGACCTTCTAAATCCAGAAGGAGGCAGGCTAACACTAACTGTGTTATTGTAATGAAAAGCCTTGCCCTGAACTCAGCAAGCCAGTTCTGTCACATTTCCTTTTAGAAATCAGGTCCAGAGTTTTTAACTCTACAAGTTGCTGGTGGAGCTAAAGAGTACCTGGATTAGTATCACCATGAACCTACCATGGAAAAGATACTTTTAAACCAGGGTTTGGCAAGGTTTACGTACCTGGGGCCGGTCGCTGGTCCCAGGTCTCCCACCGGGCTGGGGGGGGGGGAATGGCAGCACGCACGCTCATGCATGTGCGGCTACTGCACATGTGCAAACGAGTCGTGGCCGCCATTTTGGCAAACAAAATGGCAGCTGCAGCATGCGTGGTGGCGGCGCACGGGGTGGTGCGCAGAGTGTTGCGCGTGGGGGTCAGTGGGGGCTGGGGTTGGCAGTGGCAGGGGTTGGCAGGGGCTGGTTGGTGGGGGTCAGCGGGCTGGGTGCGGCCCGCAGGCTGCAGGATGCCAACCCCTGCTTTTAAATATTACACCTCCCAGAATTCTCCCAGCAAGGTTGCCTAGGGATTTATGAAGTTGTAGATCAAAAATGTAATATATCCCAGCTCTTACTATGATTTCCATGAACACTACTGATGCTGCAGTGAATCCTAACAGCCTCGAAATCTTGGATTCATTGCCCCACTGACATGGAAGTGTCACACATACTTTTTCTTTTCTTTCTTTTCTGGCCACACCATGGACCCTTTTTGTCCCACACTTGCCACCAATTTATGCAAAGAGCCACTCCTTCACTAACCTTCTCTTCTCAAACTCTTTGGTATAACCTATCTTGTATAAGTTTTAGTAGTGTAGATATTCATTCACACTGTAGACAAATGTTTCATAAAGTAATGACAAAACTTTATTTACAATACAAGTAACAATGTTTCACTTGGTCTTGCTGCACTTCTTATAATTGGTTACATTTACAAATAACAATACTCTAAAATACTCCTTTCCTTGGAACACTTTCAATTACCCCCACAGGACACTCTTAGCCCTTCTTTGGGTACCTTTACTACTAGTTCTTAACCAGCCTCTAAGGCTATCAATACCCCTCAGAATATTCTCTTTATTAACTTCCTCCCTTGGAGTTTAGTATGGGTGTTAGGCCCCTCTCTTCTGGACCATAACCCTGTTCCACTCTGGAGCCTTCACCACCAGACTCTTACTCACTGGAATCCAAACCCTATCTGACTTCCAACTAACATAATTTCCCTTTTACAGCCCAACATTTGCCAGCTCAGTCCTGATTGGCTGTCACCAGGGCTGGCTCTAACCTGCCTTTTCTCCACAGGAAGATACCACCAGGTGTCCAATATCTTCACTTTCCATGGCTGACAGTCGTTCCTATGCCGGAAAGGAAATTGCAGTGGAGGAAGAACCTGCACACTGTCCTTGGGAGGTGACTTGTCCAGTTTTAACCAAAAGGAACTGTGAAGCATGCAGTGTTTTCAGAGATGTAATGCACCTACAGAATGTGCTCTCTCCCTCTCCTTCTCTCTCTTTCCCTCTGAATTTATGTATGAAATTAATTCATCATGAAGGCAATGATTTTTGTGTGTATATGTATCTCTTTATAATTATACATATAGATCAAAACAACTCCTCATTTCTTATCACTAGTTATCACTAGAACCAGAGTGGTGTAATGGTCTGAGTGTTGGACTATAAATCTGGAGACCAGGGTTCAATCCCCAGCTTGGTCATGAAACCCACTGGGTGATCTTGGGCAAGTCACATGCTCTCAGCCTCAAGAGAAAGCAATGGGAAATCTCCTCTGAACAATTCTTGCCAAGAAAACCCTTGGTAGGTTTGCTTTAGGGTTGCCATAAGTTGGAAGCAACTTGAAGGCACACAACAACAAACAAACAAGTCTGTATTGGAGATAGTCTAGTTTATGTCTTTCCAATGGATCTCTTCTGTGCTTTTAGTTATCTAATGTTATGTCTCAGATAAATCCTAATCTAATGTAGTTATATAAAAGGTAAAGGTGAAGGTATTCCTCATTGACAAAGTTGTCAAGTCATATCTGACTGTAGGGGGTGGTGCTCATCTCATCTAAGCCGAAGAGCCAGCATAGTCAGAGACTTGTCTGTGATCATGTGGCCAGCATGGTTTCACAGAATGCTGTTACTTTCCCACCAAAGTGGTACCTATTTATCAATTTGCATTTGCATGCTTTCGAACTGCTAGGTTGGCAGAGGCTGGGACTAGTGACAGGAGCTCACCCCATCATCTAGCACCTGGGTCTCGAACTGCCAACCTGCTAATCTTGCAATTAACAGAGTCAGTGTCTTAACCACTTGAGCCACTGCACCTACTAAAAACATCTTCTGTTCTCTAGATTCCTAGTTATGAAGTCAGATTTCTTTTTCAGTTAAAGGAAATTACTTTGGGGATGGTCAAAAGTAAATGCCAAGCTAACATTTTTTTAAAAAAAATAAATAAAAATAAATCAATACTATGACCCCTGATCTGAACTAGTGGTATGTTTTACTGATGAGATTATCTGATCTTGTTCCAAAGAACAATAACACAAACTTCAGTAAGGGGATGAAATAAAATTGAAACCAATTTTCTAATCAAAACATGACAGTGTGTGTGTGTGGAGAATTTATGGAGTTTTTCATAGCAAAGTTTTAATAATAAAATTATTGTACATATTAATATTTGGTACATAGTAATGACAAATTCAAATTAATATTTGTATCAGGAACAGCAGGTATTTCTCAAAGCCCATTGGAAAAGGGGTGAAGGACAGAAAATGTGGCAACAGCTGTGTAAAATCAAGACTGCATAAAAATGAATATTGCTGGCATTTGGTTCTCCCCTCCCCCACGCTTTGGTGATTTTTGGAAGCAAAATATCCTACCTCTTTAGTTGTTTCTCAAAACTTCATAGATTGGTTAAAGTAAGAATGCTCTCCTGAAAGTAAATTGTTTAATAATTAACGTACACCATTTACGTCCATTCCATGCTGACAAAATGCATAAGAGAAAGCTAAAGATAAGACACATAGGGCCTGTACAGACTGACCAAAAGGACCTAATGCTGCTGTCATGCTGTGCACTGGACTGCACAGCACGTGGTGTCAGGGCACTCCCTTGGCACAGCATTTAGACACACTGTGCCAAAGCAGCACAGAAGAGCTGCTGTGGCAGCAGTAAAAGCAGCTTTTTGCCACTCCGAAAAGGAGCGGCAAACTAACAGATCAGGGCCACAGCATGCAGTTGCCATGGCCCCAATCTGGTGCTCCCAGGGGCAGCATGGAGCGGCCCCTTAGAGGCCATCTGTATGGCCCCACAGTTGCTTTAGACCAGCAAGGACTAACTTAGAGCCAATCCAGATGCCCCATTTGGGGTGGCTCTGGACCACCCCTGGGAGTAGTGGATTGGGACCATGGCAACCACATGCAGTGGCCCCGATCTTCCTTTTTGCTGTCCCCAAAAGAGCAGCGAAATGCCGCTTCTTTTGGAAGTGGCACTGTGTGTGTGCATGCTGCGCCAAGAGGGCACCCTGATGCCATGTGGTGTGCGGACAGGCACGTGGTGTTGGGGCGGAGTCGGGCAGAGTCGGGGTGGCCAGCGTGCAGTCACCCCACCCCAACTCTACCTCCATGCCAGCCTAAAATGCCAGTCTCCATTGAGCTTACTTACAATTGGAGGTGGTAAAGAATTTTATTTAGTCTGCCTTTCAAAGTGAACTGACCTGATTTACATTTCTGGGAGTTATGTGTACATCAGAGTATGGATATTTCTTGGATTTTGAGTTTCTGAGTATTGTGATGCAGTGGCATCATTAGGGGGTGTTGAGGGTGCGGGTCATACCAGGTGACACCCTAAGGGGGGGTTGACACCACTGCTCCTCAAACATCTGCCTTTGGGCAGAAATGGCCTGTTGCGTTTGCCTGTGTGCCTTTAAAATGCTGAAAAGATGGGGTGAGTGGGGTGAGGCTTAGTGGGAGGGAAAAGAAGAGGCCCCAACTTTTAAATTTTATATGTATAATTTTTTAAATATTAAAATTTTAAATTATTTTTAAATATCACATTTAACCAAATTTTCACTGCAACCACATGAAACTATGCATATGTATATGTAAATGCATTTAGGCTATGTGCATTATATTCAATTTAAAGGTATAATTTTAATTTTGCTAGTTGTTTATGTTATAACTATTACCATTACTTTTGGTAATATACAGAAATTACAATTAATGAGTAACATTAGTACAAAAAAAATATTACTCAGTATTCTGCATGGTGTCATATGGGAGGAGGTCAATGGGGTGTGTAACACCATGAGTTACTGCACTGGGTGATACCAAGCCTAGTGATGCCACTGTTGTGATGCAATTCTTAACTCAAAAAGAAAAGGTACCCCATGTACGTAAAATGCATATAAGGCATTTTGGAATGTGTATTTTGAAAGGAAATACATTGTAAATGACACATTTCAATATGATTTAGGAACAGACTGATTTTGGGAAACTGATGCATGGACTACAAATAGAGTAATCTGTTCACCATCATTCAATTCAGGTAATGTACCTTTATGTACTTTTAAAATTCCACCCCCCACTTTCCAACTCATAGGTTTTTTAAAACTCCACCCCCCACTTTCCAACTCAATGATTAATTAATTAAAAACCATCTTGTATCTGTACAATGAATATTTTTAAACATCAAATACACTAGGTAGTTGTATGTTAAACAGTGGTGTAGTGGAGCCAGGCTCACAAGGTCAAAGCAGAAGGACTGTTTTATAATCAAAAAGGATTATGGAAACTGCCATCACCTTAATAATAATAATAATAATAATAATAATAATAATAATAATAATAATAATTTTTATTTATAGCCCGCCCCTCTGCTCAACAATTGAGGTGGGTTACAGCATTAAAAACAAACAGAGTTAAAACATCCCCCAATCCCTAGTTCCAACCTCCCAACCTCTAAAACAGGATTAAACAAATAAGAGTTAAAATACAATAAGTAGTAAAAACTATAAAATAAAAACCAATACAAGTAATCACTGAATAATCACATGCAATGAGGAATTAGATTAGCTGAAAGCTCATCTCCCAGGGCAGATATATTACGGAGATATTAATCTGGGAAGGCCTGCCGGAAGAGATCCATCTTCACTGCCTTCTTAAAGGCAGTAAGCGTGGTAATAAGACGAATCTCATCCGGCAGGCCATTCCATAGCCTGGGAGCAGTTGCAGAGAAAGTCCTCTGGGAGGTCTGAGACAGTCTAGTTTTTATTGGCTGTAACAGACTCTTCCCAGAGGACCAAAGGGCACGGTGGGGGGGGGGGTCATATGGGGAGAGGCAGTCCCTGAGATAAGATGGACCCAAGCCATGTAGGGCTTTAAAGGTCAAAACCAACACCTTGTACTGTGCCCGGAAACTAATTAGCAGCCAGTGGAGGGATTTTAGCACTGGTGTTATGTGCTCCCTCCTAGATGTCCCAGTAATTAACCTGGCTGCCATGTTTTGTACCAATTGAAGTTTCTGGGTTAGTCACAAGGGTAGCCCCATGTAGAGAGCGTTGCAGTAATGCTTGTCTTCCCTGTTCCATCTGAGCTAAGCTGCAATCTCTGTAGAACCTAGGATCAAAATGGGCTTTACTACCATCATTGTGAGCTATTCTTATTTTACTGGAAAGTATTTTGAGATGTCTTCATCTTAAATAAGCAATTAAAACACATTGGCTTTACAAATGACTTAATCTTGGTGGCAGGGAAAACTCCTAGAACTGGTTGATATGGATATATTATTTGATGGGAAGGGGAAGTGATGTCTATCCAAAGCCATGTCTCCAAGATCTGCTGTTACCCATAATGCCCTCCATTTCCAAAAATATGAAAAATCCCATATATTACCCATAGTTCCTCTGATATAAAAAATGAGGAATTCCCTGATGACCTCCAGATGAACTCTGGCAGTGGAATTGGAGGCAAAAGTCCTCTGCGCCCATGACCTGGGCAGTCCACCCTTAATCCTCAAGGTATGTATATCCCCCCAGATAGTCTAGGAGAGTTGTGAATGGGATTTTCCCTGATGAGATCATCTAAGCCATCGAAAGGTGTATTGTGTCACCCAGCCACAAGCACCCTCAGCCATCAAAGGTGTAATGTTTGCATTGTGCTACCCAGTCTCACACACACACACTCATCGGAAGGTGCATTGTGCCACCTAGTCATACATTCCCCCAGGATATTGGCCCCTCGGATTAAGACCACCAAATACAATGGAATTCTATACAGCAGGGTGCCATCATCGCAATTATCGCCTTTCACCCCAGGGCCCGTTTGGCCCTATATAAGCCCCAGATTTTGGCCAGTCGGTGTGCTATCTTCTTGGTCTAAATGACTCCACGTCACTTTGACCTTTGAGGCTAGTTACCGGCAAGTCAGCTCAAACCCAGGCTGCGGAGCTAGACTTGTCTCCCACCATCCCACATCCCATTCGCTTCCCAGAGGAAGACTACATCTCGGTAAGCATCACCCTTAGTAACACATGCATTCTGTTCCAAACTCCAACCCTGATTTTCCTGAGCCTCGAGTGTGTGAGTGAGTGTATGGTCTGTGAGTGTGTTTCCCTATTTCAATAAACTAGCTAGCTACTGACATCAGTCTCAGCTTCATTCCTTGGAACCCCCTGGTCTCTTAGTATAAACATTGGGAGGGCGATCTCTTGGGCT